GGTGGTGGTGGTGGTGGTGGTGGTGGTGGTGGTGGTGGTGGTGGTGGTGGTGCTATAAGTCAACGTACTTTGATGAGGAACTCTGTCGGAGTGGCCATCAAGGGGTTCGCAGTTGCCGTGGGATGTAGGAAGCCCAGCTCGAGTGTGACCGAAGGCGCGCCTTCCACAGCCACATCCGCACTGCCATCCGCGTCCGTCACCTGAGTCTCCTTCACACGATTCTCAAAATGAAGGCGCTGCACTTTGTGAAAATGATCCAATAGTGCGTCGAAATCGATTCTGCTCGGTTGAGTCACGGGACTAAAGTTAGACAAAGGAAGATCGAACCAATACATACCTCAGATAATGCGATCAATTCGAAAGGCGGCACAATAAGGGAATTGAAATTGGTGGGGAGGGGGACGAATAAGGATAGCACATACACCTCGGCCTCGACAAGTGTGTGGCTCGGAAGGCACTGCAGTCGACGCCTGAGCGTCTCGAAGGCCTCTGTCTGTGGAAGACACATGAGAAGGCAGTAGAGGGTCTCCTGTAGGGCTGCGCTGTACCGCCTATCGACCAGATGGAGCCTCAGGCCTGCAATGAGAAAGGCCCTAACTGACGCGAGCTCCAAGTGGTGAAAGTGAGAGAGAGAGAGAGAGCAAAGCAACGCACTCGCAAACACCGGCGACTCCAACAGCTGAATTAGCTGGTCCATCTCCACCAAGACTTCCACCGAAACGGCCAATTCTCCACTGTGTGTGGTTCAGGTGTTAAGGAAGGGTTTTATAAACTGACACACAATGAGCACACTCCTTGTTAGGTTTTGAACTGAAGGGCGCGTTTTTAAACAACAAAGAACCGCGTAATTTGTTACTTGCCAAGGTGGCAATTTCAGTTTTGAACAAGTAAAAGCCTTGTTTTTGAGAATTTCGGTTAATGTCACTTTACAACTAAATCGAGTGCAATATGGTTCGTACCAAATCGTTTTTGAAAAGGAAATTGGAGACTTTTCGCTCAAAGTTGACCGTCGTTCAGCTCGAGATGACAATGACGACAAAATTGAGGCAATAGTTCAATTGATTCCAGAGATGAGCTGAAATTCTGTATCACACAACAACTTGGACAGTCTTGAAGGCGTCAAACATCTTGATGATTGGGTTCCGCGTGGAATGCAAGAACTTCACTTAACACAGCCAATCAAAAGCAGGAAAATTGTGAGATTTTTCAAACGAGTCACAATTAGCTGCAAAAAGTGCATTGTCGACAAAAACACCAACTAAAATTGAACCGAAACATGCTTCAACGGTAGGATGATTGCGTCTAAGAAGTGCATGCATCCAACGTGTTGGAATTGCAAAGGTATTGTGAGCCGCTCTCAAACAACCAAAGTACCAGTACTGAAACGGCTATCAACAAGAAATGGCAAGTCGCAAAGGACCAGTAGTGCTACGCTATGACGCGTCAAGGCCTCACACATCATTGGTTGATTGTGGCGCCCTGACCTTGAAACATCAGGTTAGTGTACACACTTCACTAGAACGAGAAGAGTTCCCAGTGCAGAATTCTGAAGATGCCAGAAATATATCAACAGGTGGTCGAACAAAGGTTCATTCTTAGTGTCTAACAAAACCGTCTTATCAATTAATGTCCGCCTCATTCCACAACTACGTCTGGCGGAATTTCGTGAAGGCCAACGAAGCAATCCACGGAGTGCATCGGCGGATTGGGCTGCAGCCAATTCAAACGCGGACGAAGACGAAATAAGGAGGGCTGAAAATGTCACACCTGATTTTGCATTGGGGAACCCAGCATTGCCCAGGAAGAGCTCAGCCAATCCTCTATCCCCCTGTGTTCCAATGGAATGCGAGGAAGACTCGCAGCCAACCAGGGACAGACACGTAGGAGAAGCAGTATACAAAGAGCAGCGCTGACAGCGTGGTGGACTCGGATGGACGTCGCCTGATGTACGGTTATGGTTTGTGATAGGTCAATAAAGCCTTCTCTGTTGCAGCAGGCTTCTTCATACTAGGGCTCGGGTATTCTAAATCAGCTCCGTCAGTGTTCATCGATCTTGATCCTTCAAGTCAATAGCACTAATGACTTATCAGCTGTGTATTCTGACAGCTCGTTCACCTATTGGCTGAGACAGTGGAAGCCCTCTGAACGCAGTCTAGCCTTTGTCTTGCACTAGAAACGCGGGCCTTGTTAGACAAGGAATTCGGGCACTGGGTTGTCGAGAGCGTGTGTTTTTGGTTGCTGGCAAAAACGCGTCAAGCACGCGCAGCCCATCAGACAACGAGAATGAAAGGATACAACGACTTGATCAACTTCCGACAGTGGTTGTAATTTCGCGTGAGGAGACAGAGCGAGAGGAGAGCCACGGGGTTGTGACACCACGCACGGTAGAGCTGCTCGAAGACCTCGGCGTCGTTCTACAAGGCGAATGAAGACGGTGTGTGTTAGGCTTGTGCGAAGGGGGCGCGAAGCTGGCGCCGAGACGGGAGTGAGGGCAAATTACCACAGGATCGAATCCACGCAGGTAATCACGGAAGTCGCTCAACGCCGGCTGGGTGAGGAGGATGCGGTTGAGCAGTTGGACGATGAAAAAGGCATGCTTCGGCTCGAGGAGGTAGGAGACGATCAGTGCGAGGACGTAGTAGACAGATTTGGCTCCGAGGGCAAGGCACAGATCCCTGTTTGGTTGGAAAAAAGAAGAAGAAACACACAATACGTCAGTTAGAGTGAGGTGGCCGGTGATAAAAAAGAGGCGTAGATAGATCTTGGATAGCCCAGTACATCGACGCCGAAACAGGACATCCGTTTGAAGAAGGTTCTATGGTGTACACGGTGGGACATGAGAGGTGTAAATTATTGCGAACTCCTGGAAGCTAGTCAGACGGTGACTGCGCAACGATACAGCCGGCAACTGAACAAATTGAGGGAAGATCTTGGTCTAGAAAGGTCATTTGCTGGGCAAGGAAGCAGGCAAGTCATACTGCTACTGTTGCATGACAACGCTCGACCACCTCACGTTGCTCGCGTTGCTACTCAGAAGACCTCTTGAACGTGGGATGGGAGGTTCTCCAACACGCGGCATATACACCAGACTAGACCCCATCCCACAACCATTTGTTTCAATCAATGCAGAAGCAGCAGCCCGACCTAGTGGATAGACAGTTCCTGAAACGCTGGACGATGACTTCATTGCCTCGAAGTCACCTGATAGATGGCTTAAGGTAATAGAAAACGATGGACAAGATGTCAGAGATTATGTTTGTTTGCTATTTTCTTAATATTAAATAAATCTGCCGAAAAATCTGTAAAAACTAAGTCAGGACTCGTTCTTCGTCTCTTTATGCGCACAGCAAATGAGTGCACGTGTGTGCTGCAAATGTATTTCGTTCATTTACTCACTTTGCATCATCCAAATGCGTGTACGGGCGAAGTAGCTCTCAAAAAAACCGATTTTCAGCAGTTAAGTCGATGTTTCTACGTTAGTGGAGGCAGCCATGTCAGAGTTTATCGCTTCACGAAGAAGCACTTCTGCCCTGTGCCAATGAAAACACTTGAATGTGTTGGCAACATTGGTCGCACGAACGCAGAAGTAAAGAATTTCGCAATTGACTCGTTCGGAAGCGGAGTCAGGCTGGAGTAAGTCCACACTGGCCCGTTGGAAGACGGGATTAGTAACTGTTAGGTAAGTGATATCTCCTCCTGAATACTTACCAACATGTCACTTTGATGTAACACGCACTCTAACTCCTTCCTGTCTCCCTGAGTATTTG